ATGTGGCCATCTAAGCACACACACGTAGCAGTCTCCCTACCGGTCCTCACCCTCACCAGGCCTCAGAAACGAGCAAAGGCAAACACAAAAAAGAAAGGAATCCAGCTAGGTGTGGTGGCTCACGCCGCTAATCCCAACACTGAGAGGCCGAGGTGGGCGGATCGTGAGGTCAGGAGATCGAGACCATCCTGGCCAACATGGTGAAACCCCGTCTCTACTAAAATGAAAAATTAGCCGGGCGCAGTGGCGGGTGCCTGTAGTCCCAGCTACATGGGAGATGAGGCAGGAGAATCACTTGAACGTGGGAGGTGGAGGTTGCAGTGAGCTGAGATTACACCGCTGCACTCCGTCCAGCCTGGGTGACTGACTCCATCCCAAAAGAAAGGAAAGGAATCCACAGCCATGCTAAAAAAAATTAGGGAGGACCGGATGGAGGGCCAGAAACCACAGAAAATCACGAGAGGCTGACGGAGGTAAGGACGTGTGCAGAAGCTCGAGAGGAGAAAGCTTTCCCAAGGGGACCTGGCTTGGTTGGGTAGAAAAGGGATTTGGGGCCGGGCACGGTGGCTCACGCCTCTAATCCCAGCGCTTTGGGAAGCAGAGGCGGGTGGATCACGAGGTCAGGAGATTGAGACCATCCTGGTCAACATGGTGAAACCCCGTCTCTACCAAAAATACAAAAATTAGCTGGGCGTGGTGGCACGCGCCTGTAATCCCAGCTACTCGGGAGACTGAGGCAGGAGAATCGCTTGAACCCGGGAGGCGGAGGTTGCAGTGAGCCGAGATCACTCCATTGCGCTCCAGCCTAGCACCTGGCGACGGAGAGAGACTCTGTCTCAAAAAAAAGGGATTTGGGCAACCACAAAGGGGACACAATGCAAGAACAGAAGCTGCTTATGTCCCCACCCAGAGAAAATGAACAGCAAATATGAGCTCACATCAAGAACTGAGCAACATTTAAGAATTTTTAATTTCATGTTTTTGGGTCAGGCACAGTGGATCACGCCTGTAATCCCAGCACTTTGGGAGGCCGAGGCAGGCGGATCCCATGAGGTCGGGAGTTTCAGACCAACCTGACCAACGTAGAGAAACCCCATCTCTACTAAATATACAAAAAATGAGCCAGGTGTGATGACACATGCCTATAATCCCAGCCACTCCGGAGGCCGAGGTAGGAGAATCACTTGAAACCGGAAGGCAGAGGCTGCGGTGAGCCAAGATCATGCCGCTGCACTCCAGCCTGGCGACAGCGTGAGAATCCGTCTCAAATAAAGAAATTAGCTGGGCCTGGTTTTGTACGCCTGTAATCCCAGCTACTCTGGAGGCTGAGGCAGGAGACTCACCTGAACCTGGGAGGTGGAGGTTGCAGTGAGCCAAGATCATGCCACGGCACTCCAGCCTGGGCGACAAAGCAAGACCATCTCAAAAAAGAAGGAAAGCAGATTCCAGGTATCCAGCAGGGTCAGCTTTGAGTGACCTCTAATTTTCTTTTCTTTTTGAGACGGAGTCTCGCTCTGTCGCCCAGGCTGGAGTGCAGTGGTGCGATCTCGACTCACTGCAACCTCTGCCTCCGAGGTTCAAGCGATTCTCCTGCCTGTCTCTTGAATAACTGGGATTACAGGTGCACGTAAACCGTGCCCGGCTAATTTTTCTGTTTCTACTAGAAATGGGGTTTCAACATGTTGCTCAGGCTGGTCTCAAACTCCTGACCTCAAGTGGTCCACCTGTCTCGGCCTCCCAAAGTGCTGGGTTGACAGGTGTGAGCCGCCGCACCTGGTCCTGGAAGTTTTTTTTGTTTTTTTTTTT